CTTGTAGGTTAAGCAAACCAGCCCTTCTGGCGTTTCTGTTGCCGCGGTATGGCTGAATGTTGGGGAGGGATGGGGTCCCTGACGGTCGACGGACTACTTCAACTCGGTCGGTACGGTAGGAGAGTAATGACGCAAGTGGTGCAGCTGGTCCAGCAGCTCCGCCAGAAGGGCTGGTTTGCTTACCGCTGGACTAAGCCTTGGAGAGAAGACTAATCTGAGCTCTTTCGAAAGTTCCGTCCTCTCTTTAAGGCTTAGTCCTGAGGTAAGCATCAAATTGAGGCGGTTTAAGGACCGAGTTGAAGTGGTCCGTCCACCGTCGGGGACTCCATCCCCTCCCCAACATTCAGCATACGGCCCCAGCAGAAACGCCAAAAGGGCTGGTTTGCTTACTCGTTAACCTATAGAATGAATACAAAAAACTTGGGAAGAAGTCGGCATGCGCGAAGAAAAACAAATCTAACGGTGTGGCATACATATTTGCCGCAACGTCGTCAAGGTGTTAAAGACTGTTCTTTACCAATTCCAACGTTGCTGTACAAATATGTTGACATATGATGTGTTGTAAAGATAAATCAAGATTGTTACATCAATCCAGTAATTCTGTGAACAACTTTATACAAATACATTGATTATTAATGAAGCAGCCGTGAAGTTCAGCAAAAACCTAGACTGATTGTGAGAAATACATCAGGAGAAGCACGATCTGTACCCGAATGTGTTTTGCTGGCTTCGTCTCCAGAATGAGCAACACAAATACTCGATGACTGACTGAAAGGCATAAGAGCGAAAGAATGACTAGCTAACTGGTGACTAGACTGATCTGCTTGCAGATATACTACTGCAGATACTGCAGGTATACTGCTGACTGTGGTTCCAAGGTGCAGTGCGAGATCCCCTCAGAGAAATTCAATATTTGAGTCATTTCCGCTGACAATCTGAATACGATTGTAGAAGTCGTCACGCTGAGCGAGTCCGATGAACTGTAGCGCCTTCCTCCGGCCCTCCATTCTTATTTCGAGTGATTTCCTGGTCCCTGTGAGAAGTCCCACAGTACGAAGGGATCGAATCTGCAATATATTTGTAGAGAACTGTAAATGGCGTTTCTTTTATAGCATTACTGACCTTTTTAATGGATGTGATATCAGCGAAAAGCAGGATTAAAGGTGCGTGATCGTCTGACATCGATTTTGTTCGGTAGATCAGTGCGCTGTAATGTGAACATTGATTGTACGCTATTCTCAAGCTAAGGTGCTTAAAGGTGGTTTCGATGAAAAGTTAGCTCATTGGAAATAAGGGTAGAGGTGGTCAGTGGAGCAGGGATGAAGAAGAAACCATGTGAAACGGCCCGAAACCCGAGAAATGGGACCCCTTCCTTGCCCGTTGATTTGCGCATTGATGCGACTCTCATCGCTGTGCCCTCTTCAACACTACGCTCTCTCTGCTATCTAATCACTCGCCACGTATAGACCTGCGGCGAGTGATTAGATAGTCGGTGGGCGTTCCGGGCCAACGCGCCAAAGGGAAGGCCGTGGTAGATCGCCGGAGTATATCCTTCGATGCGAATTTCGCTGCAGTCAGCACGCTTAGGGACGCTTCTCTCTCCACGAAGTAGCTTGCCGCTGCAATTTCAGGACATGGGAAAAATTCGCCATTTCCGGTTGTGGTGAATTCACTTTTACGCATGAGCTAGATCACTTCGCAGCAACTTTTTATTAGGGATTCTGAGTCGCTGAGTGGCTGATGCACCTGACGATTTCGGCTGGCAGAAAAGATAAGTTGCAAATCAGTCATCATGTATACGTGCCCGAAGGCGGAGGCCCCGCAGTATTTTTCAAGAGGAGTTCGCCATGTCTCTTTTTACCTATCTGAAACTGATTTTTGGCATTCCTCGAGGATATATCAGTGCGCTTGCAAAGTTGAATGACAGGATGGCAAATGGAGTCAAGCTCGGCTCACACGCTCACGTGCACGTTATTTGAAAACGAGTAATGGCTGGTCTAGTGTTGTCTTCCAAGATGATAGCTCATTTTCCAAGAATATTTCCAACCGAGTAATCATTGAATTCTCTGGGATTGGAAATTATAGACACAGTGCCAGTGGCAAGCCATTAGATAAGTGCTTTCTATAAAAAAAAACATTTCGATAATATGGAGGAAGCACTTCAGCAAAGGCCGCGCTGGGATTTGTGAAAAACATGCTACGCGCCTCACAGTCAGTGTCAGTGGTTGGAATGCTTTTGATGGGAGAACTGTGTTTATGTTGGATAATCTTCTTGCCTCCACTTTCAAATAAACAGTGAAGTGACTATACAAGTAACGCTGAAAGTGCCGTTGCACATGAAACCGTGAAGGCACTTGACTTCGATCATTCACTTTTTGGGGTTGCGCCACTCATTCTACTTCAAATCAGAGTCATAGTGACCTGAACAAAGTTTGGCTTGAAATTAAGGCGCGCTCCGGGATTACGCACGCTTCACCTGTCCCATACCTGAAAGCAGTAGATAGGGAGAGAACTTGAAAGTGCGCGACAAAGGCGCTAGGAGCTCGCTCAACCCGCAATCCACTCCTTCGTCCGCAAGCCCCGCCTTCCGCTGTCGGTTGCCACGTGCGCTGCTTGAAAAGCGCGGGCGCGGCAGCGGTTGCATTGCGGTTCAATGTCATTGGCACTGGAGCAACTGGAGGCGTTCGTGAAACTCGTCCAACACGCCCTTCTCTACCAAGGTGGAATGCGGCTGAAATAGAGGAGGTCTTCAATCGGAGCGTATTCGGGGATTTCTCTTGCTTTCTTTTCTTTTCCTGACCCTTCCCCAGTCTGGCTTCATCAGTGAACGCTCTTCCGCACCTATTTTATCCCATTTATCCCAAAGCGTGCCTTTAACTTGGGGGGGGGGGGAAGGAGGGAGGCAATGTACAGACCAGTGTTTTTAACTTTCCAGGTTCGATCGGGGATTTGGTTTGGGAGCATGTGCGTGATAAGTGGCGCCACTCACTACGCTACCTCCGCCTACACATGTTGCCACCCAAACGGAATGTAGCTCATTTAAGTAAGAGTACCATTCGGTTAGGTAGAGGATTCCCGACGAAATGCCTTTTGGAAATGTCTTCTCTTTGTCGTTCATCACACAGCTGCGATCTGAAATAAGCATAGATTACAGCGATAGCAGTACTGCAAAGAGAGCGCCAGGACAAATTGACCAGAAAAATTGATACAGTAACCAAACGTACATGCGAGTACGTTGTCGATCATTTGGTCTTCATGAATGATCAGTGCTTCTTCCTCGTCATCGTTGCTGAATATAGGAAGATGTTGACGAGTTCTTCGTTGTTTCCTCATCGTCTTCTTCAATTCTGGGGGTCGATTCAGATGTCAGTGGATCGGCCGGTGGGTTAGGACTCCACTGCTCCATTGTGACTAGTGGAGAAACTCTGGATCGATTGGGACGGTTGAAAAAATTACTGACGGTTGGTTCGACGGTAAGCGACTCTGTCTGACCGCTGAAGGCCCACTGCACATTAGTGGTGGGTTGCTCGTTCAAAGCATCGTACGAACCCTGAAAAATTTTATACCAATAATTTGCATTTGACATGAAAACATGAGACCAAACAACCTTGAGTTTATTGGTTTCAAATTTGCATAGACCTTCAGGGCGAGGGTTGGGCAGGGAAGAGTGCGTCTTGCGAAGGTCAGGCACTCAACTGCGAATCCGGTGGTGCTCAAAGATTGAAGTTCGGATCCAAGACCGAGAGGTGAACAACCCGTTCGGGTTCAAGGTATTCTTCCGTGGTATTGGTGATGCCTGAAATATAGGCATTAAATGAATTATATATCCCTACATTGTCACCTTGCTTGCATACCGCTCTTGAGGCCAATGTCAGAGACGGCTCGCTGCCGGGCACGAGCACAGGAGATCCATCACGTGACGTTTTCACTGGCAAGTTACGGTAGAACCAGCCATACGTGTCGAGCCGTCTGCGCAGGCGAGGGAATCGATGGAACAAGTAGGTAGTGATGAAAATACGAACACCAAGGGTGAGACCTGAAGCAAACACTTGAGACACGCTTTGAATGGATCGGCTTTATTTGGAACACAAATATATTGGGAATAAGTACTATTTGTCTCGTGAGACGCTCGAACTTCTTTGTTTTTGAGAATGCCCATACCTAATCTTCCATTTTTATTCAAGGGCATGGATCGTCATAGATGGTGTGGTTATCTGCTTGGAAATGATAGGAGGCGAAGAGGAAAAGAAACCGGTGAGAGAAATGAGCTTGAGGGTTCTCCTGCTCTTGCTTGGTCGGCAATGTGCTGGGGAGAGACACAGCGCTACGAGGAGAGCGAAGACGCCAGAGAGCACATCCTACGAGAGGGCGCAGACACCGTGCATGCTTGGACCGAGTAAAAATGGCAGCTGTCGCAACGAATGAGGCAAGGATTACATCTTTGTCTTTCGAGATTGCGCAGGCGGACCTGTGCTTATGTTCTCTGCTACACCTCGATGCATAGAGTATTCGTTCTGAAGGATCTCGCTTACAATCGCTACAATAGTTGTAACGTCGCTACCGGCAGCCCTTATAAAGCGCAATTGTTCGAGGACCTAGCGCACGGTATCACAACTACAGGTGAAAAACAGGAGGTTTCTATGTTTACTTAACGTAGATGACATGTCGAAAAAAAAAACGGACGAAACCTTAAAATCGAGGCATCACTTCTGGTAAATGATTTGGAGGAGTTCACCATGTGAATCAAAGAGTGTAGGAAAAGTACAGATGTATGATTTGAGTTCTCACTTAGAAATTAGCGGTGTTCCTTTCACCTCTTATATCTTTAATATATTATTCGTAATCAACCGTAAACCGTCGGCTGATTGAAGCACTATCCGAGAGGCCAAAGAAGTTACGTGGGGCGTGGTGTCAGTGGAACAGCCATCCGTAAGAGGCTGCGTTCTTTCCGCAGGTTTGGGCCACGAAGCTTGATGCGTATGTGAGCAACGACAACATTGAGAGGGAAATTGGTGCACTGATTTCCGCACAGAACACGAGGTATTTCAAGGGATCTTGGCCAATTCCGTTTTTTTGCATATCATTCATTACAGGCTAAGCACCTTCCAAATCACTTGGCAATTTATCGGGCAGTGGATTGACCCCACACCTGCAGAATGTAGAAATGTGCCCTCTAAAGATTTGAAAAACCACTGATATTGAATCAGTCCAGCTATCTCGATTTTTGGGGTTCGTACATTCGAGCGGGGTTATATACCTTTTCCATAATACTTCGCCTACCCTCTTACAACCCTAAAAAGCGCACAACCCAGCGACAGAAGGTTGTCGTGAACGCCTTCCTCTCGGACCTGTGTTATAGCCCCTCAGAGGCACTTACAAATGTGAGCGTTCCGTGCCACGAAACCAATCGATAAGGTGCTTGGTACTGCCAAAGTGAGCTGCTGGCAGCTGCGATTTATAGTTCTCTTATCGTCTGTGTCTGGCGTCTCATCTGTACTGCTCTCGCCCCATACTCTCCTCTTCGCGCTTAGTCTCTCGTTCCTTAGCACAGCCAATTAGGAAGGTGAGTGAGCCCTCAACCTGAGCGTTTTCGACGGATTCTTTTCCTTTTTTCTTCACTGCCGGCCCACTTGGCACCGATACATTCACATTCGTGTGCAAGAGCCACACCAATGTGATCCTGGGGCATGCCTTTAATCAGACGCTAGGTGCTTGCTGAGATTTCTATACTGATAAGGGATGAAGAAAGGAAATAAGAAAGGACCGACAATAGATGGGCACGTACCGCACATTCCGAGGCATGTTCCAGGTGTTGAATATCATTGACAAAGCAAGCCAGTAGATTACTAAACAGTAGAAAACAAATGTTACATGGCGGTCCTTCCAGGTCAGCAAACTGAAAACGATCGCTGCATTATAAAGGCTGACATGGAAAAAGTTTTGTCTCTTCCGAAAACATTAGAAAAATACAACTTGCAACTAGGGTCAACCGCACGTCCGCACATTTTTGCGACCCCCCTACCTCTCCTCATTGGACCACTCACCACCACCCATCAGTCTAACTTCAACACGGTCCCCTTCCCTTTCAAACCATACCCTCATATATTGATTCGAGCAACGGGGGGGGGGTAGTGGCATGGGTAAATTGGTACCTCCGGTACTGAATAATTTCACTTCTCTCTTAACTCTCGTAAAACACTCACCAAATTTGTCAAAAAACCCGTCCAAACACAACTCCCTCCCGTTAGCGACCTCCGTCAACCGCGATTCAACTATGATAGCTGACCTCAAACCTCAAATTGCGAACCCTGTTTCTTCTACAGGACACCCTCGTTCGAATGAGCAACAGTAACAATTCACCCTACCTGTGCAGCTTTTCGAGAAAATTTGCAGCGAAATTGAGCAATTTTTGAGCGAATTTGGCTACATCGAATATCAGCTGAGCTCCTGTGATGTCAAATTTCGGCATAGCGACCTCCTTTCCGAGGAAGAAAGTAGAGTCCGATGTCTACATTTCTGGAAGGAAGATTTAAGCATTCTCTCCTTTCGGAAGCTGGCTCGTTTCGTGTTGCACGATAAATTCGTGCATTTTAATAGTTGATGGCGCAGGTTGAGTCCACCGCAAACAGCAACACCAGCGATGCGGCGTCCATCGCGCATCATCGGAAGTACGTGTACACCTAACAAGAAAACCGTTGATTGGGATGAAAAGCAGTTCTTCTAATGAGCGGAGAAAATGTAATTTAGTACCAAAACAAGCAGAAGAGTGTGCATCGGGTTCTTCCACAGCAGAGTGTCATAGATGGCTGAACCTACTTCGATGAGAGGATGGAGGAAGTTATCTGAAATCGATTGAAACTTCAACATACATTCTACCGAATTCCAGTCTAATCCAAAGGCATGACATGGAGGGCAACTCTTACTGGAAAAGTTATGTAGCCACCTTCTTTGCCCAAGAAACCTAAACTAGCTCGTAAGGCAGCTCAAATCGAATTCAATTCCAGTAAAATACTATATTCTCAGCAGAGAGGAAATTGTCCGGTTCAGCGGTTAACGCTACAGGCGTTGACATGAACGGTTTGGTGGGGTGTTGATCCTCTCCAGTGGGAAATACTCCTTTACTAGGTTTCTCTCATACTTCGGTCCTTTACTGATTTTATGGAAGGCACAAACCCAAGCTGAGGAATCTTTCTAAACTGTATCTCCTTTTCAAGCCCACGCTAGCCATGGCTCCCTCCTCTATGCTAATTTCCGTGCTAGAACTACTTCAACTCCTACGAATTTTAGCGAAAATGATTTAGTGCCCCTTACTATCTGGGCTTCTGTCTGCACTCAGACTAAAAAGAGAAGCAAGGGGTAAAACTTAGAAAGTAAGAAGAGCAGTTAAGTATCTGAGAAAAGTAAGAAAAGGACGAAGACTACTGGAAGCCAAAAGAGGGCCCAGCTCGGCAGAAACAAGAGATTGAACCAAAACCTTTCAAAAAAATAAAAACAGAAACAGAATGAAAACCAATAAGGCGACGTACAGCATCGTTTCAGATCTCGTCGCAGTGCGATCGCCGACAGTTTCTGGTTTTCAGCCTTCGGTTTCTGAGGCTCCTTTGTAAGGAGGGGCTTCAAAGGCCTCGGCGATGTCATAGAGAAACCATTTCACCTCGTTAGACAGCCGATTCCACAGCGATTCCTGTTAATTGATTCCTTATTGAATGTTTCCTCACATTCGCTGAATTGATCAATGTTTGTTGTTTTGTCAGAAAGGAAACGTCTTTCTCGTGAAAACAACATTCGTAATATGACAGTTTATTGATGACCGCTTGCCGCAGAGCGCATTCGACTGTCGAATAAGAAATACTTTTGGATGCAGCCGTAAAGTTCCTTTGCTTCAGTTAAACATGTTCTTGAATTTCAAAAACCGTTCTAATATAAGAAAGTTTTCAGAGTTGTTGGTCAGAGCGAATTCTGAATGAAGTTAATCAGGTTTGCTCCAGGAAAATGCAGAACAACTGAAGTTTCAGAGGCGGAAATAATAGATAAGAGATTCTTAGATACAATGGAAATCAGAGAAATATCAGGTCACTAGCTCGAACTGGTCTCCGAATGGCAAAAAAGAGTTAGGTCAGGATTTGACGTTAGTGGTTTGAAAACACGGTTCCTTATGTTCCGGAGGTCCTCTCAATCTAAGTTGGTATACAAATGGCTAACTTGCTATTCTCATTTGTCCCTTTTTGAATCTATTCTAATTACCTACTTGTCCTCAAAGCTTGCAACCTCACTTATATGTAGGTCACGCTACCCAAAATTTTTCGGTGCGCGGTGGGTGTACTGTATAGACATTGGTCAAATTGGCCTAATGCCCATTCCTTTCCATGTTTTTACTGTTTGAATACTAACGATAAGTCAATCAAATGCATACCATGCTGGGTCTACTTCCTGTTTATTAATTGCGTTGATTGACAAGAGAACTGATGACCAAAACTAGCGGAGCCCTTTGGCTGTCGCCACTAACTCTCTTTCACTTCCTCTATTGCAGAGGAAGCAGCGCCGCCGGTATTCTCAGCCATGAATTTACACCAGCGTAATGAGGGCAGAGAAAAACCAGATATAAGCTCAAGGGGCATGAAATGAAGCTGGGTCAACTACTACCAAGCCTTAAGGAGATGTTCGACGGTTTTAGACTCCCGGACCACTTCCTAGCCGTGTGCCGGTGAATCATTCATTTGTTATGAGCTACTGAGCTCGTTATCTAAAACTACGAGGAGTAAATTTAAGAGCTCTTGAGGCAATCCCTACTCGCCTCTATCGGAGCTATGCAAAAAAGCAAAATAATTGCTCTTACCTGACGTCTCAGTGGAAGAAATCGAAGCATTCTCGTATTCGAGGCTGTTCTTGGGATAAAAATGGCGGAGTACCGATGGTTTCGGTGATGATGAAAAGATTCGTTGGTTTGGTCCGCGCATACTGAAAGCATCATTTTATTCCCATGAATGATCTTCAGGAACAAAAGCACAACACTCTCAATGAAGAACTGATCAAAGAACGCTGATCAACTGATAAATGCTGAACACTAATTGCAAAAGTTCAAAGCAGAACGACATTAGGAACAATGGGAATCACCATGCCGACGTTGTAACTGCTGCGACAAGGTCAGTGCGACAGCGTGACGTGACCCGAAAAGCAGCGCCGGAGGGGGGAGGTGGGAACGACGCCAACTTTAAGGCTTTACCATCAATTACCTCCAACTTGAAAATGAGCTGCGGACGGCTCAGATGGACTAGCCGCAATGATAGGAACCATGAACTAGTTTTGGAGGGAGAGAGACCACCAAGAGCAGGGTTTCTGTGAAACCAACGGTGGAAGCGTTGACAACGAAGAAACGATGATGCAGACAATAGACATTCCAATAAACTTGTCCATTAGGTGGGCCATGAAACCTTAAGTCGACATCAGTTGCAAGACTCACTTCAAAGGCTTCTTCGACGTCGTCAGCCGTCGAATCCTGCTGTTGACCGTCATGTTTGTCTGATGTTCTTATCAAAAGAACAACACAATAGCCACAACCAGAACCTATTCAGCTGATTAAATTCCACCGGTACGGCGTAGGTTTGAAAACAGTACAACGCATAGGTTCCATAATAGCACTTCTTGGAGCAAGCGCCCAATCTTTCCACTTTCACAAACGGCGACTCAGGCGCATTCATATACGTCAGTAGTCAGAAGCCTGATGTCAAACCAATTTTCTCCCAACGAAACTCTGAACTTGTCGAGGTCTGCAAGCCGTCTTACAGTGTACGAGGTCAAGTAGTTAGCCTGGGGTCAGTTAAAAGAGGTGGAGATGTTTTGCGAAGGAACTTAAGCCTTCAGTGATGTCGAGCTAACAGAATATGGAAACGTTCCCCAACACGTCCTGCTGTTAGTCAGCCATGTTGAGTGTTGATCGGAAAGAAGGTAAACAGAAATAAAATCATGTCATTGAAGCAATACGATTTCCTTCAACATCAACATTTTGGCCGATACCACTTCCATTTCCGCCTCGAGAATTGTAAGCACAAGACGGGAGACCTCTGAGAACAGGATTTATGGACGGAAGAGGGAATGAGTATAGCTTCGAGAATGATCTCCACGAGCAAATTCGTCAGCAACACATTGACAATTGACAAGAATTGGTCAGATTAATTGATAGCTGGTCGAAAAATTCGTTAAAAAAGCTGAACTTACTGATGATAAGGTCCTCCCTCGGAGGTTTCGATGTCGGCGAGTGCACTCACTGAAAAAGTGCTTAATTGCTCCTTGTACAATAATTCTCGATGGTGGCAGCTTAAAAGCTTGAGCAAATGAGGGAATGTATAGGGTATATCGCTGCGATACCCCTTCCCAAGTGTGCTTTTATGAACCTGTTTGAGGAAAGTGGAAACTTAAGCAGAAGCAATGAAAGTTTCTGTTGAGCAATGATCTCAAATAGTTAGGTCCACGAGTTGGGTTCACACTCTTTTGGCTTCATCCATACCGACAGACTACTTAAAACTCGACCTTCTGTAGGGGATAGGGTATTTGAAAACTCGAACGCCTATGAGGGATAAAGTACTCAAAAAGATCAAAAACGGGCAAAGCTCATCGGTGTGTCAATCAAATAGCTGCGGCTACATTTAGGTGAAAAGCATCTCCATGCTGTAGCACTTATGGTCAGTAGAATGGACACAAGTGAGGTTAGGCGCCAGTTCTGCTACTAGTATGGTCTAGTATTTATATAGGTGAGAAACACTGAATGTCGCAACAATAACGAATTATTGAATTCCTACGAGCATTCGCACTAAATTTGGCAAAAATGTGGACAAGGAGAGGGTACGGCCGTAACGCGCCTATAGATTCCCATTAACACGCTTCGAACTTTGTCGCACTGCTCTACCCATTTTCCAGGCGAACTAGCCAAAAACTTTCATTATCCAATACATCTTGCGTTGCACTTGGGGGTTGCGGAAGTGTGTAGTGGCAAAGTGGCACGCTTACCACGCAGCGGTCCGGGGATCAAATCCTGGGTCGTGAGTCGCCCGGGCCAACCAAGCCTTCCATCCCTCCGGGGTCGGTTAATTGGTACCAGACTTGTCTGGGAGGATAAAAACACTGACTTGTACATCGGCTGGCCCCCGCAAGTCATTGTATAGGCCACATCGCATTCAAACGCCACTACGAATGTACAAATGGAAGTAGAATGCGTGCCGCATCCCAAAAAGGGATTGATCAACGGCAAATGCTTTATCCTTTATCCTTTTATTGATGTACTTTTAGTAATTTTTCACCAGTAGGGAAAAGAACTGCACTTTGAATGCAAATATAGTAGTAATGAAGTTCAGAGTCCGCTGTTATGAGTTAAGTTTAACGAGTTCATTTCTGTGATCGGCATATTGCTACAAAAGTGGTGCTAAGACGCTGATTAGAACACAGAATGGAAGATAAATCAGCGGGAACAGGTGACCGCTTGCAACATGGACGGTGCAGGGTTCAAATCCCGGTTTAGTCCCACTGAGGTACCAAACCTTTAACTCCTTCAGGATCAGGTAATGGAATCAGCCCTGTCAGCAGATAGAAACGATGACTTCGACTTCGGATCCCCACAATTCGTTGCACGGTCAGAACATGCCGCTAGATTTACGAGTAGAATCGGAATGGTGGCGCATTCCGAGCGAAGGACCACTTCACTACCAGCACGCTGCTTCTTGAATGGAGAAGTTTTCGAAAGGGGAACGTAGGAGTAATTGTTGTATTTTTTGGTAGATCCGTAAGGCGTTGCCATCGATGAGCCCGCCGTAGGATCTCAGTTATCTTAGGTGTCCATTGATACGGAATAGCCTTGCTAACCGCGAAGTTTTCAAAGCGATAGGTTTTAAGTGTTCACTAGGAGAAGTCTTCAACAGTTGACATGCCTTCTGGCTTCGGTCCAATGCCGGCCGAATCCTGTAATGATGGCTATGAGAAGTTGAGGAGTCTTCAGAGAAATACTGGTCACAGTAGGCAAGGATGGAGAGAGCTAGAGTCTATGGACTCTGTCGATTCGAGGATTTCTATTCAAATGATAAAAATAAGGATAAAGCATTTGCCGTTGATCAATCCCTTTTTGGGATGCGGCACGCATTCTACTTCCATTTGTACATTCGTAGTGGCGTTTGAATGCGATGTGGCCTATACAATGACTTGCGGGGCCAGCCGATGTACAAGTCAGTGTTTTTATCCTCCCAGACAAGTCTGGTACCAATTAACCGACCCCGGAGGGATGGAAGGCTTGGTTGGCCCGGGCGACTCACGACCCAGGATTTGATGGACCCCTCGCTCGCGTGGTAAGCGCGCCACTTCCACCACCCAAACTAACTCTCTGATTCACTACGCCCACGGATCTCTGATTGGCTACAGATAACCGATGGAAGGTCGACTAAGTAGCGTCTCCTCAGGAGAAGAGAATTGAGTGTTTAGAACTACTGTTGGTTTTATCGTGCAATCAACTGTTTTCCTGCCCAAGGCGGTTGGTCTAAAGACGGGTTAGGACTGCAAAGTGAAGAAGAGGTCAGTGCGCTGGGAAAGGTGCGCATCAGCGCATTACATTAGTCAGCGAATAGACATTAGACACTTCTCCGAACTTGGTAGACCTCTCCAGTAATGACAGAAATCAGCTGCACTCTTTTGTTGTTGTATCATCTGTTTGGGGAATCCGCGTTTCGAGTTCGTTTATTTCTAACCAGAAATATTTTCGGCCCCAGAAAGCAGGATAATAGGAGGTCCTGGGTGCCAGATAGGAACTGGGAATCAAAGTTAGCTCCACCACAACTGAGGAGAGGATTTTGATTTCAGAGATGGAAATTTTGTAGGATAATCACGGAAAGGAGATCTAACAAAGGCCGGCTGTTCCAATAGAGAGATTACTGCTGCACAGGCTTGAAATAAAACTATTTAACCAATATCGAGCGAATTATTGCACCCAAATTTCTCAAATATTTAAGGAATTTAGGAAAAATTCTTGTTAAAACAATAATAATAATTTTAGTGGACAGGGTGACTTCAGTGTTGAGGGAAACAAATGAACGAGTGTGTGCCGCACTACGAACCCAGTGAAATCGGCTTATATCGGGTAAGTAAATGGTTTCATTAGACACTTACGATCGACAGCTTGGACCGTAGCGGAAACAACGTGTGGGAGGGGCAGGGGCACATGGCAAAACACCATTATACTAGACTCCCACTTAGCAGCACGATTGAAGCGCCCTTTCACTACCAAACATGAACTGAACCCGCTTTCCCATACATGGGTCACGCCCTAGAACAATCCCAATTCGGAACAACGCCGATCCTCACAAAGGCGACCCTCATTTGAAACTAGCAAGACCGTGGAACCTCAGCTGTTCGTGAGATGCAGGAATCACCCTTTTTGCACACAGGGGTATTCAAAACCCTAAGGGCAATGGCTGCATTTAACGTTCCATTCGCTGAATTAATTAAATTGAATACTGTAATTGCCTAAAATGCACAGTTTACCATTTCACAACATCACGTCACAGCCGCTCCATAAGATGTGGCAAGAGCTCAGTATTTGTAGAATATCACAACGTCTACGGGCTTTTGAAAGGGAAGGAGGATCGCTACAGAACCTTAACCCTTGCACGGTCATACACATGAATCTTCTGCACGATTTTTCAACCGTTTGTTATTGTTTGGTCGAAAAACGATTGCTCTCCTTTTCCTATGCACTTTAGCCTGCTTCCTATTAAACCCATGCTGGGCTTGAATGGCATTGAATGAGCATTTTTGAGTTGCATGGAGGAAACAATTTCTTTTCATTGAATTGAAATCGCTCAGGATTTCTCTGAAAGTGTGGGGCCAGTTAAAGAAGCCTCATTTAATCACTAAATTTAAATATAAAAATATTTAACCATTACTCAAATATTTCCAATATTTGAGTAATGGTTAAATAATTTCAACCATTACTCAAATATTGGAAAAAAAACTTATCCAAAGCTAGTTGAACCGCTGCAAAACTTGAGGAAGAACGTAGCTTTTCCATGGCGAGTAAGTGACTGGCGTAACTAGCGAGTAACATAACCCTTATGAAACCTACGCCAACATCCTAATTACCACGCTTAGCATTAAGCGCGTAAACCTGAAAGCAGTTTGACAGTTTAACGGATATCAAAGTTTATGAATAATTTCCGCTCCTTTCATCTTCTCCTTTTAACCCATAACGGACGGCGTGCGCCACAAGGTGGCGCACGATTATTTCTTTTGTTTTTGGAATGTTTCTAGCAATCTTAATATACCCGTATATACTCTCAGCAATGTGGAATAACATATCTTCCCAGGACCTGGACGGCTGGATTTTTGACAAACCTACAATTAAATTTTACATACACTTTATCTTAACATAATTTACTATTTGCACTTATTTTTATTATACTTCAGCCCTTTAAATGATGGGAATCCGCGTTAGATACAATTTGCTCAGTCAGGATCTTGATATTAGTTTGCAGAGTTAA